AGCGTCATTGATCGGTGTGTGATGCACCGAAAGCGGTCACAATGGCAAATGAATGGCGAACGAAATAGCGGACGGTCCGTTAACCGGAATGGCGCGAGTCGGATAATTGGACCGGGCGAATTATCGACAGAAAGAGAGATACGCTTAATCGAAAAGATTAGCCCGAATTGGCGCACATGTAATATAATAATGACGTTTCGGCGGAAACAAGTTTAAACGCTCGGGATGCTGACGTTACAAAAGAGGAGGAGAGAGAGAGAGAGAGAGAGAGAGAGAGAGAGAGAGAGACATTGTGAGAGATATTTACATGCGCATATCGCGGATAATCGTCGGAAAGAATTGGAAAGGAAGCTTCTCCGACGATGCGCGCGAGATCGCGGAACAAAAGGGGGGCGGGCAGGAGAGAGGGAGGGAGGGAGGGAGGGAGGGAGGGAGGGAGGGAGGGAGGACGGACGGACGGACGGAGGGGGACGCTTGAGAAACAATCGCCTGTGCGAATTTCTCCGTTAATTAGTCGTAAAGGAGTCGCGTTCATTTGTCCAACGGACACGCCTCCGGTCGCCAATTAAAAAGGGGATATCTGTGTTCTTCTCATTGATATACACGCGATAAACGAACGAATGTCGAAATGGGTCGCGTCGGCGCTCAGGCCGACCGGGCTCGCCAGTAATTGGAGCGCGAAGAGTTAAGTCGCATTTCTCCGGGAGGGTTAACGGTCATCGAGCGAGACTGCTCGAGTCGTCCCGCTGCCTGCGGGAAGAGCGTGGCGGTATTATCTTAATCGATGAAATCTCGATATATAGCCGTCGTCTTTTATCCGCTCATTATAGGCTTTCGCGGTGTTACAAAGGATTCCGTCTCTCTTCTTACGTAACAATGTTCCGCACGCTCGTTTCTCGGCTTTTAAAGAGGGTCTCTCTCTCTCTCTCTCTCTCTCTCCCCCTCCCTTCCTCCCCCTCTCTCTCTCTCTTTCTCTCTCTCTCTCTCTCTCTCTCTCTCTCTCTCTCTATTTTTCTCTTTCGCCGCCGAGCGAGAGAGCTCTTCGCTTCAACGGTCTCTCCTTGGAGGCTTTGATCTTGAATTAATGTAAGTCAACCGGCGGGCGCAGCGATAATCGTAGCGCCTATATCGAATCGATCCCTCGCTCCGATCAGTCGATGCTCATTGCAACGGGGGGAGGGGGGGGGAGAAGAAGAAATTCTCCCCCCGGCAGCGCGCATTTATGCCCGACCGTCCGTGGAGACGCTGCTCCTCTTTCTCTTTACACCGCCTCTTACCTCCTTCCTCTTCCTTCTTCCGTTCTGCGAGGTGCGTCTACTATCGATAACCCGGACACGGCCGAGTTATTTATTTTAATTTAACTTTCAACAAGAGAGAGGCGCGCGTCTCGCGCACCACGAGAAAGGGAGTTGCCCCGAGTTGCGCGCTCGCCGATCGCGATTGTGCCTTTACCCCCATCGAGCAGACATTTGAGCGTTGAATTTAATTAAGTTCCGCCTAGCCGAGTAGTACAACCACCGCCCCCTCCCTCCGGTGCGGTTTCGATTCGACTTGAGATTTCCTATACACTCGGGCGAATCAAGCCGTAACCATCGATGAGTCTCTCTCTCTCTCTCTCTCTCTCTCTGGTCGTACACCGCGACGGTAAACACGATTTATAAATCAAATACTTAGTCGCGACTCTGATAGCGGGCCAAGTTGCTCGGCAAAATAAACACGCGTGATATCAGTATCTCTCTCTCTCTCTCTCTCTCTCTCTCTCTCTCTCTCTCTTTCTCTTTCTCTGCGCGCGAGAAACGAGAGATACATCTCGCGGCTCCGAATTCGAGGCGAGACGTGCGCGGATTTCTCACAGCGGACAAAAGTGTCGTGAGCAATGTCCCTAGGAGGGACGTGAGATTAAAGGAGAGAGAGAGAGAGAGAGAGAGAGAGAGAGAGAGAGAGAGAGAGAGGGAGGGAGAGAGAGAGAGAGAGAGAGAGAGAGAGAGAGAGAGAGAGCGAGCGAGAGAAAAATTGTATTAATACATGGCAAGACTCGCACCACGCTCGAGTGATCCGTCGTCGTTTTCAAACATCCCCGGGAGAAAAAAAGAAAACAACTCGACCCTCGGCCTCGCACTCGCGGCGAATGCCGCCGCGTGTTCTCGAATAGGCACGTTGCAGGAAATTAATTAACGCCGGTCCCCCCCTCTCTCTCTCTCTCTCTCTCTCTCTCTCTCTCTCGGGGCTGACCGGGGATTTTCGAGAGCACTCGCGCGAGTGCAATCGTGATCATTAGCGCGTTCGCGAGTGGTCGGCGTTGTCCGGAGCGGCCTCGAAGCAGCCGCTCCAAGTTCGAGACGGACGCGCGCGCGCGCGCGCGCGCGCGTGGGCGGCTCTCGAGCAGAATTGAATTCAAACTGGGTTACGCGGCATACATATGAATGAACGCGGACCTCTTTCGTTCGAACGTCGAACTCGCTCGCTCGCTCGCTCGTTCGCGCGGGCGAGCTTGCGATTCATAGATTAAGTAAAACACGGCCGCGAAGCCCCGCGCGCGCTTGGATGCATTTCTCCTTCGTACGAGGCGGACGTACACTTTGTTCAATAAATCCCGGCCCGGCTGTATGATTCTCCAGCGCGAGTTTCACACACACACGGACGATAAATCCGGGCGTCTCGCGTTCGAAAGTCGGTCGACTTCGCCTCCGAGTGAGTGCCGAATACGTCTCCCCCCCCCCCCTCGTCAGCCCCTCGTCGCTCACCGCGCGCGCGGCGCATTACCAATTCAATTGTTACAAAGTACGTTATGTCTCAGCGTTTGTCGAGTATCTCTTCGCTCCCGCTTCGGGACCGTTGACGGAAAATGCGGATGATCGCGAGGGCGGCTTACGCAATTAGCCTCGCAATTGACGGCTCGACGTTGAATCGCGCGATTACTGTAACTGGCGTCGCGCTTTCGATTCCGCCGGAGGGCCTGATTCTGCGTGCTTCTGACGTCGGCTCGGTGCGAGAGAGGCATCGCTCTCCTTCGGCGTTCGTCCTGCGCGAGCCTGCGACCGCATGTGTGACCCTCCCCGCCACGGTGGCGGCAAACGCGGCCTCCGCCGAATCACACGCTCGAGATTACCGGGCTCGCGCGGGCGTGCGCGAGGAAATCATATGAGCCAACAATTTCAACTCTTTCATACGTCTCGGTAAGTACAAATCGAGCAAGCCACCGTGAATAATGCAGGCGATCTAATCTCTCCCACGAGGCGGCGCGGCGCGGCGCGGCGCGGCGCGGCGGGCAAAAAGACGCGGGTAAAATACGGTTACGTGAGTTATGGTCGGTCGAGTCTTTCCCTCGCTTTCCCATGAGTTATACCTAATCCTTGCCGATGAATCCGTCCGCATCATGGCGCTTCCAGCGTGTATACGTGACGTACGCTCCGAACACACACACACACACACACATACATACGTACCCGTACACAACCTGGTACAACTTTGACGAGCGAGTTAAAAAATTTCCGACCGTTGCTTTCAAGCTACTCCTTCTCTCTTAACGCGCATTAAACAGGGGCGCTGCGGAGCGCGAGAACGCGGCCGGGAAGCGTGATGATGCGGCAAAACAAACGGGCTTTATTCCATTAGTCGCGGGGCCGCGGAAAAAGCGGGCCGCCGCGGCCGTTGGTCGTCCAGACGCGAAATCAATCCGAATTTATCGGCGCCGCGGTGATAATGCCGCGCACCGCGCCGCGCCGTAATCCTATTTACCTGGCGCTAAGCGCTCCGTCTAGAGCCGTCCTAATTGTTCGGCCGCCGCAGCGGTCAAACATTGCACGCTGTGTATATGCACGCGCCGAAGGCGCCTGCACTTCGTTCAATGGCATTGTCGAGAGGCCGTCGCGCCGCTGCCCAAGTGCACTTCCGACGTGTGCCCCCTGCAGTTTGCCGGGGACAGGTGACGCTCCATTGTGCCGGTAAAATATTGACACTCGATATTTCGCCTCGCTCAAAGCCCCGAGGAAACGCGGAATCCGTCGTGTTTACGTAGGCGTCATCGTCGGCGCGCGCGCGCGCGCTCGCCAAGACGACCGTCTTCCTCCTCGCGTTCTTTCGGTGTCTCGCTATCAGCGGAAGGTGCTGAGGTACGAAGGAAGGAGAGGAAAGAAGAGGGAGAGGGGGAGAGAGAGAGAGAGAGAGAGGCCTAGCGGCCACGGGTGCGTCGCACCTCTCTCTCTCTCTCTCTCTCTCTCTCTCTCCCCCTCTCTCTCTCTCTCTCTCTTGTTGGATTTAAGCGCACGCCCGTAAATCGCCCGGTCTAATCCGCCGACTCGTAATGCCGAGAGTTGGCCTCGGCCCGTTACTTTCGAGTTGTTAAGCGACACAGGCGAACCGGACTCTTCCCTATTGCCGCCTCGCCGCTGCTTTTAATACCCCCGGCAATGTCGTATCTGCTCGAAGTTCTCTCTCTCTCTCTCTCTCTCTCTCTCTCTCTTTCTGTTTTACCTTTCAGTAGAAAATTTACAACTTGCCCTTTTTATCGGACGGGGAATTAGTTATCGCGCAGTGAAGTCGCGATATTTTAAAACTGCGAAACGTCGCGGAAAGTTCTCTCTCTCTCTCTCTCTCTCTCTCTCTCTCTCTCTCTCTCGCTCGTCCCCGACGCGGAAAAGTAAGATTGCTTTCTTAGCCGAGCTAACTGGCTCGTCAGTGCTTCCTAACTGTTCTCACCAGCCGAGAGTCGACGTTACAATTTTGCTCAATTATTGCTATTATCATTGTTATCGCAACTGTTATTTTTATATCGCCACGGCTCTTACAATCCCGACAAGTCGCACGGTGATGATCACAGACTGGTGTAAGCGAGTTAGAAAGAAACGTGTAGCGTTTGCGTGTAAACATATTATTTATTTGCTACGCTTTCCTTCGCGTGTACGTGTATGTACATATATGTATGTCTGTGTGTGTATATGTGTGTGTATGTGTATATGTGTGTATGTACGTGCGAATACAAGTCGCCGCGCGTCACTCACCGTTCTGTTCCCCAAATTTTTCACACGGCAGTTGAGATACGTGGTCTTGCCTAGCAGGGCGGTCACGTTCTTCGAGGCCGATTTGTCGAAATACGGCCCCGACCGTGAGGTATCCTCCAGGGCGTTCTGGAATGTGTCGCTGCTCTTGCTACTGCCGCTGTAGCAATGCGCTTCTGTAACAGGAGAAGCCAAAAGAAAACGCTGTGGATATGCGGCAATTTCGATGCTGAGCGGGAGAGAACATTCTCTCACGGCATTATTACGACACACAACCCCCGAGTCGAGCGATCTCGCACTCTCGCTGTATCGAGGAGCGAGATGTAAACGTCTCCCTCTCCCTCTCTCTCTCTCTCTCTCTCTCTCTCTCGATAGCACGATAGTCGTGCATTTCCGCGACACAATGTTGCGGACTGCCGGACAAACGTAGCGCGAATCGAAAGTTTAGAACAGTTACTTTCGCACGCCGACCGAGTGACAATCGGCCGACGAAGGTCGAACGCTCGACTATTCCTCCCGTGAAAATTTGCATCCCGTTCCGCGAAATTCCCACGAGTCGAGGAGCGCGCTCTAAAAGAGAGAGAAAAAAAAAAGAGGAGAAAGAATTGCACAATAGGAGAATTGGAACGGATAATGAGAATGGATACGTGCAGTGTTGACACAAAGGCTGCTGAAGCCGAGAAGGGCTTGTCCTCCGTTAATGTTTATTTACACGTTCGTGAGATACGCGTGCCGCATGCAACGCATTCCGTCCGCGCTGGCGCGGCGTTACTAGCCAGAAACGCAATCGCGGTGATAATTATCATGAGAATTATGATAATAATATTAATTATTACTATCATTTTAACGCTATGCTATTATCGTTGCTCGTGTGAGTCGCTAGTTATGATATTATTATATTACGTTGTACCATTAACGCACGCGCGCATGTGCATAATTTTAAGAGAAATGTCGGAGAGAAAGAGAGATAGAGAAAAAGAGGGGGGGGGGGGCGGAGCGGCGATGCACGCGCGTGACAACGTTGGTCGCTAGTCGACGTCGCGCGAAGAATTCGCGCGAATATACACGCGCCGCCGCTGATGAGAAAAGTCCGTGGGAGCTTTTAATTAAGCGCGCGTTGCCGCTGATAAACAAAATTTGACCGATATAAAGGGCACAATCCACTTCGCGGCGCGCAGGATGCGTAAATTATGCGACAAATTGCGGAAAGAAATGCGGGCCGCGAGCGACACGAAAGCTGGAGTCGCAATTAGCGGTAGGTAACAAACGGCGCCGGGCGGGCGGGCGGGGAGGGGGGAGGAAGAGGAGAAGGTGGAAGTTGCGCGACGGTGGAACGGAGAAAGAGACTGCCGCGGTTACAGGTAGCGAAGTCGTTAACCGCGCGCCACTTGTTTTGCCGCTTTGACATTTAGCGACAACCTGCCGTCGCATCAACCATTCCGTTTTCCCGTTTTTCCATCTCTTCCCCGCCATCCATCTCGCCCTTCGCTCTCGCTCTCGTTCCCTTCATTCCCTTCCCCTCCTCCCCCCCCCCCGCCCACCGTCCTCCCCGCCATCCCGTTGTCTCTCTCGCGGAAAATAAGAAAATTCCCTTGTCGCTGTTTGTAGCGCGAAGACGTTTTCGTTGTAACGTCGCGATAATATCGCGAAACTCGCTGCTCCGACATTTTGCCGTGAAACACCGACAAAGGAAAGTGCCCGCACGACTGGCGCGCAGCCGGTAATGCACTTCTTCTGACGAAGGAGAGGAAGCGTGCCAGCGAGAGAGAGAGAGAGAGAGAGAGAGAGAGAGAGAGAGAGAGAGAGAGAGAGAGAGAGAGACCGTTGCACGCTTTATTCGATTAAACGGCATCTGGACGCATCGCAATATTGACGATAAATGAGCAATTAAGCGCAATACACGGGGTGATAGAAATCATCGGCCCCTCCACGCCGCGCCGCGAGAAACACACCGCGAGGAAACCGCTCGATAAAAAGTCCACTTTTGTTACGTCACTGTTTTCTCACTGGCGGAAGAACTTTTCACGTCATCTCGCGGAGCGGAGGGTTTTTCACTACGTCTTACGGACTTATCCGATCGGGCGAATGTTATCGAACGTATTAATTCGAGAGAGCGGGGGGAGGGGGGCGGAGGAGGGAGGTGGTAAGTACGCAGCCGGTCGATGAATCGCGCAAATATTTATACTTATCTCGGATAAACCGAGTTAAGTGTTTCCAACTGCGAATAAACTGGCAATAAACTTCTCCCCACGGCGGAGGGAGAAGCGCCGGGGGTTGTCGCCGTCGTCGTCGCCGTCGTCGTCGCGTGCGCGCGCGGACACCTCGGGGAGTTGAGAGGGGATTGTTTATTGGTCCGACAAGTTCCGCGTCTCTCTCGGATCGACCGCGAGGAAATCATTCTCTCGACGCGACGTCGTATCACTTCCGCGCGTAACGTCCCACGGCGTCGTTGTCGCGGACCTCTCGCCGAGCGCCATTTTGTACAAAGTTACGGATTAATCGCGACGAATCGCTCGCGAACGCAGCCGCGTATTCTACACGCTCACCCACACACGAGCACGGCACATACGCGGGGAAAGGGGGAGGAGGCGGTGGTGGTGGGCGCGGGGGAAGGGGGCGGGGGAATTCACGTAGATTAAAAACGTAATTTGCAATTACCTTGCTCGGCCATGCGCGCGCACGGCGAGCCGAGCCGAGCCGACCCAACGGCCCCGCGCCGTCAGATTTGGCAAACTCGTTTGCCGTTTCACGGTTTTAACCCAATCGAGCCGTGCGGAAAGTAGCTAACGCCGCGGCAAATTATTACGCTTTGTGCGCGGACGCGCACAGTTTATTCGTCTCTCGGGCGGGACGATCGAGAGCGCCGGGATATAATTGGCAGTCGTCCCGGCCTTCGGTCTCGGCGGCGGCGGCTCGTTTCGCTGCCGGGCCTCGCGCTATCATACGCTAGTTACGCCCTATTGCCGAGAACTCGGCGAGTATATAATCGAATCTCGCCGCTCTTGATTAGACCGTGATTACGCGAGGAGCCGCGCTCGCGGCTGATGCGGCAAATATTGAATCTCAGCCCGGGTTCGCGCGCGCTCCTCTCTTCCTCCAGCCGGAGCGACACTCGTAAGGCGCGCCCGAGAAGCGGCGGCTATATCCGCCGGTTATGTCCCCCGGGACATCCTCGAAACTTTATCCTTGCGACTTTTCGTACTCGCGGCTGCGCCGCGCATTCGCGACCGTTATACTCCGTTTAATCCGTTTTCCTCGCCGGCGGCGCCGGCTGAGCTGAGGTCCCAGCGCGCGTTCTCTCCTCCTAACAATCAGCTTCTCTCGTCGTTAGACAATATTCACGCTGACGAAACGAACGGCGCGGGGATGACGAGACTTTTCGTCAGCGACGTTCAATTATTCGCGTTGGCGCGAGCTGGGACGGCAGGAATATCGAGCTTCTCCAGCGCGACGACTATCTGCGGAGCACGAGAGAGAGAGAGAGAGAGAGAGAGAGAGAGAGAGAGAGAGAGAGAGAGAGAGCGCAGTGGTATTTCATTTTCTCCCTGTTTCCCTCGCGAACGCTCGATTATTGATAGTCTTTATAGCGCGATAAGACGGCGATTGGTTCCTCGAGAGTGCATTGTACATTCTTAAAACAAGAGACCGATCGAGACGATTCAGGCTAAATGAATTCGAGCTGAGAACTCTACATGGTGACACCGACTGCCCTCGTTCTGTCAGTTTGACTGCGAAATGGTGTATTTTTAATTTTTCGCTTTGTGCAAAAGAAGCTCAAAATTTTGTTCAGCGGGGTGATCATAAAGCTGACACGCTTTATTGGTTGAATTTATTGTGTAATTTACTTTACCTTTGCAACATGAGGTACAATAGAATTATATATGTATGCAACTACGTTTCCATTTCACAAACGTCCACTTTGGACTAAATTTGAAAGTTTAAATTTCTGCTTCAAACTGCGTGGATCTGACCCAATTTTTATCACATTTTACTCGATCGTAGTCTGTGTAACAAAATTCACGTATAACCCTGAGACTCGACTCTTTCTACCTAATTTTTCGTCCGTGCGCGCCTCCCTCCCCTTCCTTTTCCTAAATATCGAGTGAAAATTAAACGGAAACTCGATCGCGGAACTTTGACGCGCTCACTTCGCTGGCGATAAAAGTGCGCTTTCCGGCGGTCGATTCGCAACGTCCGCGCCGATCCGAAAACTCGCGACGATGATGAAGTTTCGCCGAGTTAGCGGTTAACTCACGCTTGTATACATTTTATGCACGTACACGAAGCCGGGAGGGGGGAGGGGGCGGGGGTGCGAACGCACCCTCGCGGCACACACGTCGCCGCGGCGTGTAACGGGTAAAACTTTGCTCGCAGCGCGCGAGAAGCGGCAAGTTCCTTTATTAAATTTAGCGAAAGGCTACAAGAGCGCTTCCGCCGGCGCTGTTTTATTCGGCGACAAGAAATTCGAGCTCTCGCGCGCGAGACGGGGAATCGGCAAAGTTCGAGGCGAACGGGTTACAAAGGCCGACGACCATGCGCGCGCCCGCACAATGGCTACGGCTTAATTTCATTATGAGTCAACACTATTGACCACCATTCCAAGACTTCGCAATCTCAGCCCACTTCCTCACTTTCCTTACTCCCCCTCGGCGCGCCCGCGACAACGATTTCGCCCGGTGAATTCAATTCACCCGAGAGAGAGATAATACGTCGCGCGTCGTCGTTTTAAGACACGAGCGCGCGCGACCCAATTTCCCAAACCCGAATAATCTGAATCTCATTTCCCAATTTGCTACCCCCCCGACCGAGAATACACCTTGACCGTCGCCTGACAACTAGCTGTCGCGCGGACATCACGTCGGGTTATCGACTCAATTTTCGCAAGCGCTGAAAAATATGTCTCTCCTTTTTTTTTTTTTTTTTTTTTTTTTTTTACGTATATATTAGGGCAAACTTTTATATCGGTTTTTTTATATTAAATTTTTTAAATCCCCCTTGTCAAATAACAACGCTGGTGTTTGCGAGCATGTGAGAGAGACAGAGATAGAGACAGAGAGAGAGAGAGAGAGAGACAGACAGAGAGAGAGAGAGAGGGAGAGAGAGGGAGAGAGACAACGAACGAATGAACCGACCGCGATGAGAGGATGGTTGGACGTGTCGCGTTTTGGAACTACCCCCGATCGTACGCTCTCGTTTCTCGCCTTTGTTCCCGGCCCACAGTCTCCACCGTGGAGGCTCGTGTCGCGTCGTCGGCAGAAACCAGAATTTATCGGCCCGACGACCCGGCGAGCCACGTCGAGGCCGCGAGTCCGTCCGCCGCGCGCTTCCTTCTCGCAGCGGCGGCGGCGGCGGCCGCGGTAACGCCTGGCCGCCGGAGAGTAATAGGAGTTTAATCGCGATACTTGTAGCACGTTTATCTCACTCGACGGTCCATTAAATCCCGAGGCAGCGGGATAATATCGGGTTATGGCTGATGAACCGCGGAACGCGCGCATCAGCGATTCTCCGCTGAATTTCGAATTACGAGGCTCGGCGAGACGCGCACTCGCGCGCGCCTTCGACTCGACCCTAACCTAGCTAGAGAGGAATCTCATAGGAAGAGAGTGACAAACTGATCACGTGACTGGTCTCTGTTGACTCGATGGAGGCACAAAGTCTTCTTGATCAATCAGAATATCGATATAGCTGGACGACAGGGTCGGTTTCACAGTGAGTTTTTAAAGCAGTCTGACGTACATCTGTCAATTATTAGAGGAGGTTGCGACGAGTCGCGCAAGATATTCGCCTGCGAATTAACAACAGCAATAAGAATCAGATATCCGTAAGTAATGAGTATTAATTGTGAAAGAATATTTGTCGCTTCGATTTACATAGAATAAGAATCGTAATATATATATATATATATATATATATATATTATTTACATAATTTTGTGTCTTGTGCACAGTATAAAATGCCTAGACCGCTTTAAAAACTCACTGTAAAACCAACCTTGTCGTCTTGCTATATCGATATTCTGATTGGTCAAGAAGACTTTGTGCCTCCATCGAATCACCAGAGACCAGGTCATGTGATCAGTTTGCCACTCTCTCTCTCTCTCTCTCTCTCTCTCTCTCTCTCTCTCTCTTCCTACGAAGCTAGGCTCTCTACACCTAGCTTACCTAGCTACCGGGTGTGATCCGCGCACCTTGGTAATCCCGAGGCGCGCGCGCGCGCGATTTCGCGACGTTTCGCGATGAATCAGCTGTACAGACGAGCGCGAGCGCGAGCGGGGCCGTGCAGGTGCGAATCGGGGTCGCGCGCGTGCAGTGGGTCACGTAGTCCTTGCGGCTAGATCCTCTCCTAAATTTCGAGATTTTACGGGCCGCGAGTCGAAGCCACCTCGTAAAATATCCGCGACGATGGAAGGTCGGGCAGGATAAAGAGACACGACCGTATAGGAGGCGGGAGGCGGGGCTGGCGCGGGCGGCGGAGGGGAAGGGGACGGCGGATGTAGCGGCGGTAAAAGCAAGAAGAAGAGAAATAGAGAACCATAGAGTTATCTTTCAATCTACTCCGAAAACCCTTGCCGCGCGCTACGGGCGAGGCCGAGAGCCAGACAGCGCCGCCGTCTCTCTCTCTCTCTCTCTCTCTCTCTCTCTCTCTCTCTCCATCCATCTATCTTCCTCGCTCCCTCCCACTGCCGCCCTGTTTTAAAATTCAGATTCGCAACTTTTGCTTAAATGTCCCGTAGATAGACCGGCGGCTCGCCGCCGCCCTCGCGCGACCCCTCGTCGCGGCCCTTCGACCCACTTCGTGCGTCTCGTTCCGCTTCCGCCGCGAGTCTCCCGCGGAACTCGCGTAAATATGTCCCGCGACTACGCGGCGGTCAATTAGCGCCGCCACGATAAACGACTCGGGCCGAGTTCCCCGCGCGAGTATCGCCGCGCTTTTCGCGCCGGGGCAAAAATAAACGAAGAAATATCAGCGCGCGTAAACGATATCATCGTGTCCAATTATACGGCGTATTCGAGATCGCTAAATTAGGAAAGTACGACGAAACACAAGTCGAGGCTGCCGCGGCAACACCGATATCGACGACATATATATATATATATATATATATAGCGGCCTTCCAGAGGCTCGCCCTTAATTTTGCCCGCCTCTCTTTCTCCCCCGTCCCCTGGTCCCTCCCGCGAGCAAATTGGTCCCGGCGTTCGTAGTCCCCGTCGCAATGCAATTCCGATAGCCACCCCCGCCCGGGCTCGGGCGGGGGTTGCTACGTCGCCAGCAGCAAGACGCGAGCGGACCGCCCCGCAAGTTTAGCCATTTATCGGCGAGGCCGAGATTACGAGGGCGTTAAGGGTCTCGGCGTTGTCTCGCTCGATCGCGAGAAATCGCACGCAGTCGCTAACGATTCGCTGCGGGTTACAACAATTGCCGGAGGAAAGGGTGAGTGGGGGGACGTCGCGCCTAGCTAATGTATTGTAGTCGTCGTGGGGGAGGGAGCTCGACGCGCCGTGCGCGCCGGCGGTAAACGATTTTATATTGTTTGCGGTAAGACGCGTCTTAATGGAAAATAAATGTTGCTCGGAATGGTCGTTGCTTTAAATCAAACGTTGCGGGAATAACGCGCGCGCGCGGCTGACGTAATGAATAACGTGTAACGAGACACACCGCGTTACACACTCGTTGTTGCGCGACAATGTGTATTCGTGATGGATCGTTCTCGTCGTATGTATAGGTGATTAGCTGGGAAACAACGTAATCGCATTGTTTTCGGCGATCGCGATAGCCGGAACGTGAGCCGTACGTTGTGAAAGAGAGTAAATGGTGAGTTTGCGTGAGAACACAAAGTGGTCGCTCGGCGCGACGCGTCCGTAACGCGTCGTTGATTATTGTCGAGTGTTGTCCTCACTCACTTGACCGACGAGAGTCCTCCTCGTCGTTAAAGATGTCGAAGAAGATGCTTCGAGACGACGACGTCGAGGGTGCGAAACGACTCGCTTCGCACCCTCGATCTCGCCAAACTAGAGATGTGCGAACTATTCGAATTCGAATCGGTAATCGAATACATTATGCGTGCATCAGCTAATACAAAACAGGCCATCTGGTCCTGTATGTCCGAGCCCTCAACTTGTAATTAACTTAACTCATAACTCATAATTTAATTATAAATTACTTTAAATATTCAAATATTTTACTTTAAGATGATATTACATAATATCATTCCCTTTCGTATTAAATCCCTTTCATGTTCAATATTCCCTTTCATATTAAAATCTTCCATCATTATTTGCATGTCTTAATAGTCATGTTAAATTTTTTAACGATTCGATTCGAATTCGAATTCGAGTGAAATTTCGTAGATTCGATATAAAAATTCTTGACTCGCACATCTCTACGCCAAACGAAGAATCTCGGCGACTCGGTTAAGCTGTATCCTTACCCCCCCCCCCCGGTATGACGTCATTCTCGATTTCTATTTCCAATTTGGCGCGCAGCGTTACACGAGCGATCAGACTTCGCCAGACTGCCCGTTCAGCAGCGCGCTCTCGTCGCTGAGAACCGCCGCGAAAACTCTCTCAACGTCCGTCTTCGTCGAGCGGAGCTCGACTACGTTCCGCTGCGTTCAGCCCGCTAAGAAAGTTTCATCAATCCGGACGTGTCCGATACACCTCCGATGTTTCCCGTAATTTGTAACAGCGCGGTTGGGGATATACCGCTTTCAAAGTAAACTTGCGCGCACAGACCATTTCCGCGAGAGCGGTGCCTTCCCTTCCGGAGGCGCGGTCGATCGGATTCAGCGGATTCGGGACACGATTCGGGACACGACGCGCGAGAGAATCAAGCTACAAGCTTTACGATCACTCGGCGCGTCGCGGCCGCGGGGGGATTTTCGAGGGACACGGCTCCCTCGGATGTAAAGTGTTCCGGACCGAGAGTCCCTCCGTGCGGAAGCGAGGAACGTCGTCGTCGTCGTCGTCGCTGCCGCCGCTCGAAAGCGGGCTGGCATTTCGTCGATAAATAAGCTTGACCGTGGGGTATCATATTTCTTTGGCGCACCAACGCGCCAACGCGCTATCTCGCGCGGCGCACGGCGCGAGATATTATTTACGATCCGCCCGGGGGAGATTTATTATGGAATTGATTTCCCGCACGGCCGATCGGATTAATTTCCACCTTGGCGACACCGATCGCCGTCGATCGCGTTATTTCAGTTTCGAGCTGTATATTTTCCAAGGCGGGATTAATAACATTCCGCGAGTTGCGCGGTCGCGCGCGCTAAGAAGATCGAGCATTGTTACCCGGAGCGCGGGTATCTGCAGGATTTACCTCTCCGCGTACTCGATTATGTTTCATTAAGCCGGCCGCGCGCCGTCGTGCCGCGATCGCCCGGGATGATCCGTGGCTGACCGCGAACAATCGGCCAAATTTTTGCCGACGGCCAAGGCGAAAGCGACGATGACGCCGGTGACAGACCGTGTCCGTGGGAAACAAAGACCACCTGTGAACGCGTCATTAAGTCTTCGCTGAATAGTCCGAGGCTACCGCAAGAGACCACGCAAGAAAGCGCGTATTTTTGAGGGCTCATTAGTCTAACGAGCGCCCGTCGTCGCGCGTCGTATTAGACACGAGAAGAAGCCTCTCCTCTCGTTACCGCTCCGCCGCGCCGCGCCGCGCCGTCGCCGCAAGTCGCGCTGATAAGAAGGCCGCCGAGGATCCAGCGCGTCGGGTATCGCGCGCGCGCCGGCATACCTTAAGCCCGTGTCAGCCTACGGATTGAAGATCAAGGATTGCGGATTGAAGATTCGATTTCGACAAATCAACACTGAGAGAAAAGTATATGATACTTGGTACTATAATGATACAGTAACTAAATTACAGTGCGAAATATCATGTTTATAGTAAGTATATTACCATAATATCGGTGATAATTACGATATAGGCATAGTATAACCAACCATATATTTTCACTAAGAATTATAGTAAGTTAAACTAAAATTATTGTATGGGTACAAATATAAAATGGTAGATAAAGTAATTCTTTTATATAGTCAATATTATCAGAATATTTGCTAAATGATGACAGATGTAACTATATGAATATTAAATCTCACTATATTCGTGAATGAGAAATTAGCATATATGTGGTAAAAGTAACTAAACGATTATTTAAGACAATCATTGACTGTATATTTGTGTTTATTCTACTATATTTTGCAGGTTCCACTATAAACTATGAAACTATAAAAATATGGTTGACGCCAAAATGAATTATAAAATATAGTCAGATTATAGTTAATTCAACTATATTTTTCCACCAGTGAACGAACTTCGGTTTTGATTTGCTTCATTCCGAAAATGGTCAAATTTCAATCTTCAATCCGCAATCCTTGATCTTCAATCCGTAGTGTGACACGGGCTTGAGAGACTGTTTACTTACGCGCTTCAATCGCGCGCTTGGATTTACTAAAGCGCATATCTCAGTTATCTCATTCGCGGTCGCTGATCGTAGACGCGGATCAATGTCGCTCGCGGCCGAGACGGATGTCTTCGCCGGCGCTTCTCACTTTCTTTCTCTCGCTCTTTCGCGGTCGGGGAGTCGTCGTCATCCCGCAGGGCGCCGGCCATAACCTTTCTCGCTTTCGACAAAGAAAGCGCGTAACGATGCCTAGATATACAGCAGCGAGTCGACGCTTATCCCGCAAACTCTTCATCGTCCCTCGCGTAAAATACCAGCCGCCTCGTTCATCTTGTCGGAAGACGACGACGCGCAGAGTTGTCGTCGCGTTGTTGAGAATGGAAGAGTGGTCGAGAGAGAGAGAGAGAGAGAGAGAGAGTGTGTGAGAGAGAGAGAGAGAGAGAGAGAGAGGAGAGAGAGAAGAGAAGAGAGAGAGGTAGATGGATAGGGAGAAGGAAAAGGTAGGAGAAGGAGAGGGAGTGCGAGTGAGGTACGAGGCAGTCTGTTGAATGAAATTTGCAATGGAAATTTAATCTGACTCGATTCGTCCCGCGTAGCCGGCACTCTTCTCCTTAACGCCAGTCATTGTTATGTTTTGCGGAATTTTCGACAGGGAATTGTTCGCC